AAACACATCATGGCTAAGAAAACCCTAGATTAGGTTAACCCCACCATCGGAGAATAAGTAGCTGTCATCCTCAGCTCGCAAACTCAGAAGTTAGAATGCAGTCCAAGTTGGCGTGTAGGTTGATGTACTGCAAGATCTAGAAGTTAGTTTTTTAGAGAATTTACCCAAAATAGGACTAAAAAGGTTTGAAAATTCCAAAATATGACTGTCATGTTTTTATTCCCAAAATAGGACTAATTACTGCCATGTTTTGGCAGTACCAGACTTCAAACATGACAGTATTTTCCAAACTTGGCAGTAATTACTCCTATTTTGAGAATAAAAAACATGGCAGTCCTATTTTGGAATTTTCAAGTTGTTTTAGTCCTATTTCGGGAACTTTCCCTTTTATTTATTAGGACTGTTATTTCTATTTTGCAAGTTATCTTACATTATATATACTCCCTCCGTCCCATTTATATTGTCCCGTTTTACCTTTTCGGGAAGTCCCACTTAAATTGTCTCATACCATATTTGGCAAAGTTTGTCTGGATTAAGAGTTTACTTCAGGAGGATGCTAATGGTTTTGAGCGTATTGGATATTAATGTATTTCTGTTTTTTCACTTCCGATGTAACCAAAAAAAAAATCAACCACACAAACCCACTTTTCTTAATAACCGTGCCACCCTCTTCCGTCCCAATATAAATGGACGGAGGTAGTACACAATAAGTTCACATCTAGTTCTTCCTGGTGCAACTCTTTCATGTATAACTCATTCCTCATCCTTCTTTGAAAATTTATCCATATGCCACTGCACTTTTTTGCATGAAGTTATGATAATGATCATATATATAATAATTTCACATGTTTGGATATTTATTTAAAAACTAGGGTCCACAGATTTTTTTTTAACTAAAATGCATCATTGTATCCCATATGTTTTTATAAATAACTGATATTCCCTCCGTCCCGGTGGACTTTGCCAAGTGCAAAGTTGGTGAGAAATAAGAATAGTAAAAATTGTATGGTTGACATTTGTGTAGAGGAGAGAGAAATGTCCAGAACCACAAATTAGTTGCTTTAATAGGAAAGTGACAAAGTTTTTTGGGACAACCAAAAAGAGAAAATTGACAAAGTCTAATGGGACGGAGCCCGGAGGGAGTATGATATTTGAGGTATTTTTTATCACCGCATAGAATATTAAGCATGGTTCTGAAAATCGTTGAGCATGCACCTCGAATCAAGGCTCATGCTGAACGAGTGGAACCACACTAGTGAAAGATCTCGTCAAGACTGGCTTTGTAGAAGTCCACTCCAAAATCACACTAACTCTGATTGTGTGTGCTAGCATCATTTCAATATTGGCAATCAGCTACTCTATACCCCCCCCCCCCACACACTGACACACACACACACACTTTGTTAGAGGTTGGATGATTCCTTGCAGAATGAGGCTCCCTTACACAAGAGAACATTCAGCAATCCTGAGCATGTTTCGTACACCAATAAGAGGAGATCTATAGGGAGGGGGGGAAACGAGCAAAGTGAAATGTAGTAGGAGATTGTTAGAAGTTTGAATAGAGGGGTTCCGCCCCTTGTATTTTACTCATTTCAAATCCCTGTTTTTATAGCATAGGTTATACACACCAAAGCAAACGAACTAGGATGATAGTCATTGGGAAGACACACAATCCTTAGCCGAACTGGAAAGTAATCAAGTATTATGATCCTCAAAAGAATCAGAAGGCAGAAGCTATTCAAGAACCAATTTTTTTTCATGTGGAAAACCTGGACAATGGCCTCGCCGCCTCAGGAACTCTTTTTACATATTCCTAAACATCTTTCTATCTTGATCATTTTTCATCAATCCTTAGATGTCTCTATTTCAGTGTCATTAGAAAATCTTCAAAAATGCCCACCCAAAATGGTGGGTAACATAGCAACGATAGCATCAACTTCAAAGGTCTCTGAGTCTGCTGCTTCAATTCTCAACGATTTCATTGATATTAATTTGGAACTCTTAAGTTTGAGGAAGGATGGGTTTTTCATCATAAAGAAGGAACTTTGTAGTCCTTTAAAAATTGAGGAAGGTGAGCTCAAGAGTCCATACATCGTAAATTCGTAATATAGGAACCAGAGCACGAAAAAATTTCAAGCTTACCAAGAGAAGAAGAAGAAAAGAGCACGAGTGATAGATTTCCCAGCCAGTGTCCCTCTCCCTAAACACAAACACTTGGTAACACCGTTCACCACCGCTTGGCTGATGAGAAGCAGCCCAAACGCCCCCAATCCGTACACCGTCGATGCGTCCGTTCCGTACACGCAGTACGTCCTCTCGTCATACTCATCTGGCACCACTTTCGCCTTTCGTATCCATTTACACACAAAAAAAACTGTAAGTGATTACTACCGCCACCGACAGAGGAATTATACATTTATACTATTTGAAATGTCACTTTTGCCTATGAGCACACTTGATCTGAAGAGAAGTACAAGAAAAACGCAGAGATATTTTGAGCACGGAAGCGAAAAATGAGAAATAGAGTTACCGTGCTACGGCGCCTTTCCGCACCGATGGCGAGAATGAAGGCTAATAGGTGAAAGGAGATGAGTAGAGCTAGAACAGGTATAGAGACCGCCATTAATGGTGGCCGGTGTTCTTGATCTGATTTTCTTCTACTGCGAGTTGCTGTCCGGTGATGGAATTTTGTTCACTTTGTCCCTGTAAAACAACGGCTATTTGGTTTTACAGCTTTTGCTGAAATCGTTTTTGGCTGCTAGCATGCTGTGTTTGCTTTATTACTTTATTGCGCTACTTCTTGTCTTAACTCTTAACTCATCTAGCCTAGCGATATAGACATCGTTTTCAAGTGAAAGTGAAAAGTTTCAAATAGCCCCCCTATTAATACGAAAAAGTCAATTAAGCCCCCGAACTCAAAAAACATCCAATTAAGTCCACGAACTAAATATAACGAGGCAAAACAGTCCTTTTAGCAGGATATTAACTGTTCCCAATTAAGTTGCATGTGTGATAAATGATGTGACATGCTTTTACATTTTCTTTTTCCCTTTTTCTCTTTCTTTCCTTTTTATTTATCTCTTTTTAACCGCTTAATTACCTGCTAAAAGGACTGTTTTGCCTCGTTTTTTATAGTTCGTGGGCTTAATTGAGTGTTTTTTGAGTTCAAGGGCTTAATTGACTTTTCTGTAATAGTAGGGGGGGCCTATTTGACAGTTTTCCCTTTGCTTTATTGTCCTACCACATTTCCGTGTACACAAATCTAGGCCTCACTAACTAACACGGAAACCCGAAAAGTGAAACGTGAAACTGGAAACGCCAGAAACATAATTTCTAAAAAATATAGGATTCGAAATATGGGGGAAACACGTAAATATTATCAGATATAAGGATATATTTATAAATATTTTTAATATATGTACACAAGTTTTTCCATATGCACATGTTTTTTCATATAATTTGTTTAGTAACCAAATAATAAAATTACTCTACATGTTCGAATTTAGATATTATTTCAAATTAGTACATAATTAAACATAAAATGTACGGAGTAATACATTTCTAGCAATACATTGTGTTACGAAATGTAACAAGTGTTGCTGCTGAGAAATACCACAAAAAGTCACTATTAAAAAAATCCACCACAGAATCTTTAAAAAAGAAAAAAAACATTGGAATCCGAGGCTTCCGAAACGTAGTGAAACGGGCTTCCAAATTTTTCTTAATTACAGAAATGGCCCCGAAATGGGAATTTGAAGTTTTCGAGTTTCCGAAACGTTTCCGAGTTTCCGAAACGTGGAAACGTGAACCGTGTAGAGTTTCCGTGCTTCATACAACAAATCACTACACCGTATTTTAGCATAAAACTCAAGTTTTTTTCAAACGAATTGTCAGTGCGCGCACACACACAAAATTAGGAAGATTTTATATAATTTGTATACTAATTTTGTGTAGATTTATTTTTTTTTTGAAAACTATTTCCAATTTTAAATAAAACTACATTTTGTGCTTAAAATTGACTGAAATGACTAATTGTGTTGAATTGATTCTAATAAAATATGTAGTTAAAATAGGCATGGACCAGTTCCAAACTGGGCCGGGCTCCAGGCCGATCTAAACCGGACTTTTTATTGTTGGTGAAGGGCCCAGAACTGGCCCGGGATTCCACCGGGTTCGGGCCAGGCCAGGCCGGGCCGGTCTCAAGGCAGTTCTTAATTTATATTTTTTTTTTGCCTTTTTAATTAACCCCCAATCCCCCCGACCCCCACCAAAACACCCAGTCCAACCCTTCTACAACCAAAAAATGAAGGGAAAAAAAATTATAGGTCCAGACCAGGCTCGGACTAGTCGTCGGGCCGGTTCCAAAGGAAGGGCAAGCCCGGAACCACCCCGGCCTAACACCTCGGGCCGGTCCTAGGCCCGATTCCCAGGCCGGTTCACTGGGCCGGTCCAGGCCCGCACAATGGCGGGCCGAGCCAGTTCCCTGACCGGTTAGACCGAAACCGGTCCATGCCTAGTTAAAAATGTTACTTCGTATATGGAAAGTATTAGGATCCACCTTCCTAAAATCATTTCTAAATACCGATTTGCTCCAATACCGATTCCAGGTCATGCCCAAACAGTACCAATTTTGGATCAAGCCCATCACGATACCTGCATATTATTATTTCGAAAAATAAAAATTCTACCCATTTGGCCTGAGCCAAGCCCCAAAATTCAAGCCCATAGCCGGCTCTATGTATCCTCGAGCCAAGGCCGGGCCGGTACCGACATAAAAATACCAAGCCATTCGGCCCCCAATTACTATTTTTTTCCCATTGGGCTGGCTGCGGCTTGGGGGTGGGCCAGGTGGGGGTTGGAATTAATTCGGAAAGATAAAATTAAATAATAAAAAATTAAGGCCCGACCAGGCCCCGGTACAATTGTACAAACCCAGGCCGGTACCATGATGTTTTTGGGCCCGAATCCCGCCCAGTCCCAGCCCGAACCCCAGTCCACCCCTACTTCCGTCCCATAAAACTTAGTCAAAACTGATTACATGTAGATTAATAAAGTAAGAAACCCGACATGGCGACATGTGCTGTTAAATAATACTACTACGTAGAAATAAAGTAATTGACATTCTACAACACTACAATACTACATGCTAATGTGTTAAAGAAATCCGTCAATGTTACACAAAGGGGAAACTCAATTTCAGACTTGAAAAACTCTGCTAAAACTCCCCCACAAAGTTGCAATATGTAGTACTCCGTACCATACAGTCCCACATTTTATCCAGCCTGGAGAAAAAGGCCAGCTCTTTTAAACTACTATGTCCTGCTCACCGCCTCCTCACCCTACAAGGGTGGTCGCACCTCTCTTGCTCATATTATCATACCCATACCTTGCAGTATGTTTTTTCTACAATTGTTTTTTTCTTCATCTTCTCTTATGATTATAAACAGTCTGGAACCATTATGCATAAACCCAGACCACCCTCACCTTCCAAACCAGATCAGCTGCAGGGTCAAGCAAATACATGTTTCAGATTACTGTGGAGTGGTACCAACTTAACTCCAATTTCGGCAGAAAAAGCTAAAATCTGGGTGATTGGCCTGAAGTGCTGTCAGCCAGTTCCCAGCAGCCTGCAGAAGTGAGTTGACCACCTCATATTCACAGCCTTCATGGTCGGGTACCCATTGCGATGCTATGAACTTGTAAGAAGCAAGGCCAAAAACAGGTAAGCGAATATTGAGGATGCTATCCATCTCGCTTGCAGCACCTGAATCTTTTGTTTCTACAGAAGAAAGCATATAAAGCAGTACAGAAATTTAGAGACGAAACACATGAATGATTCCATGAAGGAAATAAACAACTTTCACATCCATAACAGAATATTCCAATTTGGTCACTTTAAGTGTTACTCCATAGGTCCCTTCTCAATTCTTGACAATAACTTTTATTTTTTCCATTTCTGACGCAGTAGGGTTTTCTCACTTTTAGTCCTTTCGGGTCACTTATCTGATGAAAATGAATGAAAATTGTATGGGACGAAATTAACAAGATATTGTGGAAAACTGGAAAATGGACAATAGTGGAAAATGGAGTTGTGGATATAAAATGACAATGACCTGATAATCAAGGGAGGAATATTTCTACATAACACGGTTGGGAAGATATAGTTGAACAAAAAAAAGATGCAATTCATACAGTTAAAGGTACCTGTCCCAGTTGTATGAAGATAATGATAGGAAAGAAAACAAGCATCTAGGGGTTTAAGAGTAGGTCCCATTGGTATCCGATAAATTGGGTACCTACATAAGTAACGCGCAATGACCACTAAGGGGAAATGCACATGCAATTAATATGCTTTATGAACAAACACAAGGATAATCAGTGGTACCAGGCTACAGAAATCCAGCTTGAGGGAAGTATGTCACAACTTCTAAGCGTTTTCAGCTCAGGAAAGCACACAGCAAGGTTTGATATCTGTAAAATTAACAATAAGATGTCCCTTCAAGCTATTATTTAAATGCATATATTTTAATTGTTGAAAACATGGAAAAAAAAACCCGACCTTTTCTGCAAAAGGTTCCCGACCATGTGGAGGACTCCTCTCAAAATATTCAAACACCAAGTAACATTGAGAACACACAGATTCACCCTCGTCGCTGGAAAACCCTTCTTGAAAATTAGTATTTTCATCTCCTAATGGCGACTTGCTATTCCTAAATAAGTTTTCACAGGTTGAGTGATTTAGGCAATTTCTATCCTGTTCAGAATCACTGCTTCCACCACTACTACTAGAATCTCCAAAATTGCCAACATCGCTATCCTCTCCTGGTTGCCTATGAGATAAAATTCAGAAGGAAGTTAAGAGTCACAGATTTAGGAGATTGCAATAAACAAATAAGCTTTGGGTGATGATAAACAATGAACATATTCTAGAAGCATTTAAAAGAGCACACGAAATAGAGTAGATCAGATGAAATGTGGCCTGTGGACCTTAGCGTGCACAGATTATTAATAAATGCCTAAAGCATTGAGCTTCAGTATAAGTTGACAAAATTGAGTCAAAGGTTAACATATCCACTAAAACAAAAAAACAATTGAGCCATGACTTTAGCATGACAAATAAAAGCACAGAAGCATGGAACACAACTATGAATAAAGTTAAGAATAGTTGCAATTGCCCTATTCTGGTTTGGTGAATAAAGTCAATAAACTAGTCCATCCTTGTTTTATTCAAGTGTTCAGCCTTATTTTAGAAAATCAAGCTAGTTACCCCTTAAACTTTGACTTCCTCTACAACTACCCTTACCTTAAAAACTTTGAGCTCATTTTTTCTAATTATTATTGGATCTGTTATGACTTATGAGACAATTGTGATGAACTTGATATATATATTGCGGAAAGTAACATTGAGATTTCCGCGTAGTAAGCAAGTCAGATACTTTATATTCCCATTACAATACCCATATTTAAGTCCACAACATGGAAAAATGTATGGGGCCAGGAAGCTAACTCTAGATTAGTGTAGCAACCTCAGCTAACCCAAATGAATGAAGTATTATATATATGACGTTCTGCACCAATTTATGATGATGGTTACAATCCTAGCAATCTTACTTAAGAGTTAAGATAACTACTGTTCTTGAATTTCTAAAAAACATGCCATTTTCTTTATATGAAGGAAAACAGAAAACACCGTGTAAAATGAAATGAAATATATGAGGGGAGCCGAGGAGGTGCTTGACATAGTCAAACTGAAAGGACACCTACTGGCATTTTTAAAAAAAGATGGAGTAATCAGATGGACCAGTCACGGGGGCGGGGGGTGGGTTAATAATTCATTGAATTTATTCAACTAGAAATCATGTCTGAACTTTGCACTCTAAAACTACTTGTAGTTTTTCCTACAAAAATCAATCATCATTTACCCCAGTGCCGCAAAGGCTCCCACCTACGGTGGGGTAGGGGGGAGGTCGGATGTACACAGTCTTACCCATGTACTAAGGATGTTTTTACTTGGACTGTAATTTGTCCCAGAGCAGACCAGACCAGTCCAGTCCAGACTAGACCAGACTTGGATAGTTATAAAAACACAAAGAAACCAGACCTTACAAGACCAGATCAGACCAAACCAGTCCAAGTAAAAACATCCTAAAGCATAAAGAGAATGTTTCCGGATGACCCATAATGAAAATCGCGTCCAAAATTGCATGGACTGACTACTGCTTCATAACAAAGAAGCGCAGATAGTTTGGTGAGCCATTTTGCTTTATTCCATCATATTCTCAAGCCAAAAAATAATGAATCTTTGGTTTTTCCAACTAAGTGTAGTTTTTCCTACGAGCAAAATAAAATAACTAATGAACCCCATAAAGTAGCCAGCTGTAAAGAAAGCAATAAGCCCACAAACCATACGAATAGCAGAAAACGTTTTTTTCTTAACGATGACTTGTCAAGGTTGCCTACTTGTTTCAGCAATCAGCATTAAATGACACAAATTCTTGAAGGTATATGTTTCGTAATTGAACTTTGCCTGCGAGCATAGTTGTAATGGCGCAAATGGCACGCCTATAAAACGCCATTGCCGATGGAGAGTATTCACCACATTAATGCTTCTTGGCGGCCAGTACACATGTGGTGGCACCATATGCGCCATGTTATTCGAGCAGATTTAACATTATCATCATTTATTGTTGGGCTTTGGCCCTGATTACAAATTAACCAGATAGCTGGCCTATAATATAAATAAATAAAGAAACATAATAACTGAACTAGATAGAAACCATCTAACGTAGAATTGAAGCCAAAGAAGCTGCGCTACTAATGTCTCTTTTAGAGAAAAGCTGCAAACGACTAAAGGGGAACTGCACTTCCACTAAAGGAGTGTGGTAATTGATGTTGATTAGATCATAATCATCGAACACAAATTACAAGTTGACATATTTTGGAAGAGTTGAAGCCTTCTTGGTAATTAAGTTATTTTGAAAACTATTTTAACTTGACATATTTTGGTTAAAGTGTAGTTATTCAACTCTTTTGCTCATTTTTGGTTGAATTGTAGATTATATTGTCCATAGTTTTGGTGGTTGTTTTTTGGGTTATGTGGCAACGCCATAAATGCTCCATCCATCGCCACGGAAAGTGCCTTGGTGTCATGACTGTCACCATACGCTATGACAACTATGCCTGTGAGTGACTTAATGTATTTCACCATTAACCCTACAAAGGGGCAAAAAGAGGATACAAGGCGTGTCTTTTATGTACAAAAATATTGTTTCTCATACCCATATGTGTACCTGCAAATATTTTCATCCCATAATATTCTTGTACTCTTCCCTGCAAATATTTTCATTACATTTTTTGACAAAATATTTTTATTACATTTTAAAAAAATATTTGTGTGGTTGATATTTTTTCTCTCCTTTCAAAAGAAAGGTTATCCATGAAATTTTATTTTCTTAATAAGCATGTGAAGTCAAAGCAGGAAGACAGTTTTGAAATGGAGGGAGTAAATGGAAATAGGATTTAACAGAATGGATGAGTCATACGAGATGCATGCCTTACACAGGCTGAATCCCCTATTCACACCCGATACAGTGTTAATAATGTAATACTAGAGAATTTTAAAGTAAAGCTGCAGAACAAAGTGCAAATGAATAACCTCAATTTCTCTGAAGACTTTGAAGGGTCGGCATATATTTGTATGCCAGATAAGTAGGGAACATAGTACTGAACCACACTATCATTTTCATTCAATATCAAAGGCACTCCAGCACCATATGCACTCCACTCTTTGAAAGCCTCCCACAAATCACCTAATAGAAAATATGGCTTAAATCCTTCATCACGCATCTTACAATTCCTCAAGGTGGTCTGTTGTTAGCACATAAAAATCAATCAAAACCCCATTTGGATAAACATTATAAAAACTGAAAGAACAAAAACAGGCCCAACGAAATTCAACTTAAGATGCTCAGTTATAACAAAGATAGTGATACAATTTTCATTCAGAAGCAATATGTTTTTAAATATGAACAAATACTCCATAAATATTGTGTATTCCGTTGTTCCAATGTTAAATGAAAGAGAGGTTTCTAGTTCTATTGAAATTAATTAATTAACAATGGTTGCAACTAATGAACCTTGGAAAGATACCGCGCCTTGACTGAAGGAGTAACGCAATGCAAAAAACTTCGGATATTGGACACAGATGACGCCTCGCTTGCTTGCTCGGCTTTTATGGCCATCTTCTCCGTCGGCTGCTCATCCGCTGTTGCTCGGACATGGGGCATGGAAACAGCACCTACCGTGACGTCGCTCTCGACTCCCCTGCTATGATCTCCGTCTTGATGATTCTGACGACCGCTGAGACTTTGGCTCATGCGAGACTTTGCAGCACTGTAAAACCAATCATCACCGTTCTGGCTCCTATTTAATAGCATTCCTTCTCCCAACATAATTTCAGAAGCCCCTCAAAAGCCCAAACCTTCTATCATCATCATCACCTAATAATAATGTTTGAACTAATCCAAATATATGTATGATAGCCGCGTCCTATATATTTTGGTGGCGTTGCATTCTATATATATCCCACAGATAGAATAAAAACAAAATAAAAGCTGGAAGGCTAATTAAACTCTTTTCGTGAAAGAATCAAATTAGCCTAATTTCTGGTAGACGGATTTCAGCCGTAAACCCTAACAATGGCAATTCAGAAGCTTTTGAAGGTGTACAAGAATTGATACAATGCTATCTGTATCGATAGAGAGAGGAAAAACGGTGGAGGTGATTGCAGCGAGAGAGGAGAGAAATGGAAAGCAAAAGGTTCAAATCTGCAACTCTGTGGTTCCGTATTGATATTGATAGTCCAAGGAAAATATGCAAACAAAATAATTTGGATGTCTACAGTAATCCAGGGCGCCCTTCACATTTTCACATTAAATTGAAAGGCCATCAAATAAAATTGAACTGCTAGAAATCTGACATTGAATATAAAAAACCAAACTCAATCATAGTTGTTAGGTTTGATTTTGGGTTTTACTCTTCAAAACGGAATCAAATCGAATAAACTGAACTAATTAAAATACTTTGTATGAAATTTTATTAAATTACGATCGGATCTGTGATAGCTGTCTGGATTTTGTCTTGCATATTTGCTCTTTATTAGTGAAAATCCGTTTTGATGATAAAATTAATAGTTTTGGTTTTCTTTTGTTAGAAAATTAATTTTGGTTTTATGTTTAGTTAGGTTTATAAATGCATTTACACATTTATTGCATGTAATAATATATGCATGTATGTTGTAATTTGTTGTAATATTGATCTATTAGGTTTTTTATGCATGTATGTTGTAATTTGTTGCATGATGATGATAAGTTTTTACTCGTTATAACTGGTAATCAACTTTTATTTTTATGTAACTCGTTATAAGTTTTTTATGCATTTGGTAACACTGAAAATCGGCTTATTCTGCTGGAATTTACGAAGTTCTGGCTGAAGTGGTTGTATTGGTTGATTCTGCTGATTTATGATTAAATTATATTTAAAATACATTTTACTAATAAAATAAATAAAAATTATATGAAAAATAGCTATTATGGTCATCTACACTAACTTCAGCCAATACATTCAGAAAAGTAATTTCAACCTTACTTTTTCTCATTATTACACAAAGTCACCAAAGGGGCACTTAAAGTTTTCATATTGATAGACCAAATAAATATTCATCTCAACTATATCACATAGGACGTATATATTCATGAATGTTTTGTAAATCAGTCACAAAGAATGGAAATTAAGAATATACTAGTATACACTTTTATCTCTCCCGCATACACATACAATTCAAGGCATATTTATTTCAATTCTTCTCATTTTTTATTTTTTTATTTGTTCAAGGATTTTTGTATTTTTAAGCAATATGTTTAATCCCCCAACTAAAATATCATTTTAAATCAAATGATAATTTTCTAGTAAGAAAAACAAAACTGAAATCAGACCGAAATAAACCGACGCAATCAAACTGTGTTTCCAAGTTTTGAAATGTAAAACAGAACCGAAAGTGAACCAAACTTCTACTTTGATTTCGTTTTTGGTTTTTTGTCGAAATCGAACCGAAAGAACCGAACACACACCTACTTCACATGGTTAAAAGTTAAAAGGCATACCGGAGGTCGACCCATATCGGAAACTTGGATAAAAAAGCAGTCTGGGTGGTAAAAAACTCGGAAATCAATATATATATAGAGAGAGATCAAATACAAATCATGCTTAATTTACAAAGTACAAACTTATCTTGGCCATCCGATGAGTTGATCTAAAGGATATAAAGGCAAGGTGACATTTTTGTAATAAAACCTAACTTTTCTAGGGTGCAACTCGTTGAACTTTAATGTGCAACTGCTATTTTATGACTATATAGTATGCAACACTTTGAACCTCAATATGCAATGCAAATAACATCAAGGTGCATCGTACAAACATTTGCACAATAAGCACAGTTTGTACTTGATCTTTCCCATATATATATATATATATATATATATATATATATATATATATATATATATATATATATATATAATATAGGGTAAGGTTCAAGTGAGAAGAACCCTTTGGGTGAGAAATGAGAATGAATCTCAACCATTGGATTCGACTAAGTTGCAGTAAAAGACACTTCATGATGCACTGAATTATGCAATCTAGCACGGTGGCATTTCTGTAAATACTTATGAAAAATCCGTATTACACGTGTCTAGTGCAACATGAAGCTATTTCGGTGCAACGCCGTCAAATATTAGTGCAACATGAAACAGTTTTAGTGCAACATGTGCAAAATTTAAATATTACTGCAACATAAAACCAATTTTAGTGCAACTTCGTAAATCCAATGGCTGAGATTCATTCTCATTTCTCACATAAGATGCCTTTCTCACCTGAACCAATATATATATATATATATATATATATATATATATATATATATATATATATATATATATATATATATAGAGGGCTGTTCTCATCAGGCCGGCCTGACAGGCTGCCCCGTCCGGCCGAGCCCGTTTGGGCACCTTCCCGGTGGAATTTTTTGATGAAATTTTTTGAGCATGTTCCTCATCAAGTCTAGTTTGTCCATAACAAATTTCAGCTCAAAATTCGATCGGGAAGGTCGTCAAATGATTTTTGCACGTTAACTGGTCCGGAAAATACATATTCCGGACCAGTTAACTTGCAAAAATCATTTGACGACCTTCCCGATCGAATTTTGAGCTGAAATTTGGTATGGACAAACTAGACTTGATGAGGAACTTGCTCAAAAAATTTCATCAAAAAATTCCACCGGGAAGGTGCCCAAACGGGCTCGGCCGGACGAGGCAGCCCGTCAGGCCGGCCTGACATGAAGTTTTCTCTCTCTCTCTCTCTCTCTCTCTCTCTCTCTCTCTATATATATATATATATATATATATATATATATATATATATATATATATATATATATATAGGGGAAGGTTCACATGGAAACCCCTCTTAAAATGCAAACTCGTGAAAACTCTGACAACCGGTGGTATTTTTGGCTCAAAGTTTTTGTGTATGTTCCTCATCAAGTCTAGTTCATCTATATCAAATTTGAGAAAAAAAATTCAATCGGGAAGGTCATCAAATGATTTTTGAAAGAAAACTGGTCCAGAATATACATATAAAATGCAGTTTTATTTCAAAAATCATTTGATGACCTTCCCGGTTGAATTTTTTGCTCAAATTTGGTATAGATGAACTAGACTTGATGAGGAACATACACAAAAACTTTGAGCCAAAAATACCACCGGTTGTCGGAGTTTTCACGAGTTTGCATTTTAAGAGGGGTTTCCATGTGAACCTTCCCCTATATATATATATATATATATATATATATATATATATATATATATATATATATATAGAGAGAGAGAGAGAGAGAGAGAGAGAGAGAGAGAGAGAGAGAGAGAGAGAGAGAGAGCTCATCTCATCAGGCCGGCCTGACGGGCTGCCCCGTCCGGCCGAGCCCGTTTGGGCACCTTCCTGGTGGAATTTTTTGATGAAATTTTTTGAGCATGTTCCTCATCAAGTCTAGTTTGTCCATACCAAATTTCAGCTCAAAATTCGATCGGGAAGGTCGTCAAATGATTTTTGCAAGTTAACTGGTCCGGAATATGTATTTTGCAATATGTATTTTCCGGACCAGTTAACTTGCAAAAATCATTTGACGACCTTCCCGATCGAATTTTGAGCTGAAATTTGGTATGGACAAACTAGACTTGATGAGGAACATGCTCAAAAAATTTCATCAAAAAATTCCACCGGGAAGGTGCCCAAACGGGCTCGGCCGGACGGGGCAGCCCTCAGGCCGGCCTGATGAGATGATTTCTATATATATATATATATATATATATATATATATATATATATATATATATATATATATATATATATATATATATATATATATATATATATATATATATATATATATATATATATATATATATATATATATATATATATATATATATACAGAAAAGATCAGGTCCCTCCACAGGGACGGGAGGGACCGTCCGAACTTTACTATTTGGGGCGGTTTCCGGTGGATTTTTTTGATGAAATTTTTAGAGCATGTTCTTCATCAAGTCTAGTTTGTCCATACCAAATTTCAGCTCAAAATTCGACCGGGAAGGCAGTCAAATAAATTCTTGAAGCTTACTGCACATTCTGCGCATATATAAAGTGCAGTAAGTTTCAAGAATTTATTTGATTGCCTTACCGGTCGAATTTTGAGCTGAAATTTGGTATGGACAAACTAGACTTGATGAGAAACATGCTCAAAAAATTTCATCAAAAAATTCCACCGGGAACCGCCCCACCAAACAGTAAAGTTCGGACGGTGCCTCCCGTCCCTCCGGAGGGACCTGAGCAGTCCTCTCTCTCTCTCTCTCTCTCTCTCTATATATATATATATATATATATATATATATATATATATATATATATATAAGAGGAACTTTTTAAGAGCATACGACGCGCCACATAATCTTGCTATGTCATCATATATACCACATCAATTAAAACGTACAATTATACGTACACATGGAAATGTACAGTTAAGTACAATTATTAATCTTGCCATTCTAAAAAAAAAAAGATTTCTCGTGACTATATGTAGAATGGCTCTTTGTTTTATGTAGTATTTAAGTAACTTTTTATATAGTTATATACCTTTAATATTTCTATTGCATTTTATTTTTTTATTGCATGTTGATACGGAAAAAGATATACGAAGTAGAATCCACCTTATTTGGTAACTTTTGAGAATTTATGACAGAATACTTATTAATTTGGATAGTTATTAAATTTAGAAATTGGAACCACATCAATTAATAGTCATTCATACACATGGGCTATTAAATTTAGAAATTGGAACCACATCAATTAATAGCCATTCGGAAACAAAAGAGATAGAATCCACCTTATTTGGATATTTTATACTAGGTATCAATTATTTAATAATTTTTATACCTTTTATTTTTTTATTAAATTATATTGAAGAAATAAATTATTCGTGTTTTGGCCACCTAACGGATAAACCAACCAAATTCCTATTAATGTTGTTCATCAAAGTTATTTCATATACTTGGTCTAATATAAAATCATTTGATAATACTAAAGTTTAGTATTTTATTTTTGTAAAATAACTTTTTTACATTGATTAATGATCAATTTTGTAATTAACTAAATTATGTACTGCCCGTGTATCGCACGGGCTTGAAAACTAGTGGACACAAATAAAAACAAAATAGCCCATCCATAAAAACCTAGACAATCCGGAAAAACCCGGTTTCACAGGGTTTTTAGAGATTAATATTGTTTTATTAAGTTTCTTGTTGGAGAATTCATTATTTTTTAATAGGTGGTACATTAAACTGTTTAAATATAATTATAATAATTATCATTCAATATTTAATATGACATGGACATGGTATTATTTAAATTTTTTAGTTTTTGTCAATGGTTCACTATGTTGTTGGTATCTCCGATTTTATCTTTTTGCCTATAAAGAGTTGTATCCAAGGAGATAGTAATTTACCGATGATACTTTACATTTAACTTTGGTATTTCGAAATATGGTATATCACAATTGCGGTGAGGTAACGACGTGCAATTTTTATATAGAATTAACTACCGATAGATATAGGAGTTCAGTTTTCCGTCATGTTTAATAGGACTAAAATGGGGTTGGCTGACCTAATACTCTTAATGAAATCCCAATATAATTTGTGTATTAATAATCTAAATCAAAATATTAAAATTTAAACAGTACAAGAGACAGACGACGACGACACAACCCTAGGGGCTAGGGCATGGCTACCTTCTTTATTGTCGACACCACTGGTCGCCTCATCCGTCGCCGAACCAGGGGTATTAGGGGCGAGCTATGGGATGCATATATGGTGGACCGATCCGGCCGAGCCCTTTTTTTTGGATTTTCTCGCATTCATTGGCGGCTAGGCGGATGGGGCTGGGTGGGTTGGGGGGATTTGGGGGTGGGGAGGTGGTGTGGGGGTAGGAATAAATCAGAAAAACCATTTTTAAAAAAAAAAAAACTTAGACCTGACCCGGGCCCGGGCCATGCCTAATAGTGCCATAAATTGACATTCATTCTCGAATTGACATTATAAAGATTATAAAGACATTTCCATAAAAATGACATTATTCTGAAAACAATTTCCAAATATTTAAATGGGGAAAATAATTATAATTATGTCCATTTCAAATTCAAAAATAATAAAAAATAAGCCAATAAATATCAAATTAAATAAAAAAAATGAGAGAAAAAAAACAAAGATGGTGGAAGAATGAGGAAAAGGAAGAAGTGTTGTGATATCAAAATGTGTTCATTCTCGATCATGTTGGTACCAGGGCGGATCTAGCATTGTCGATCAGGTGGGGCCAAGATTTGATTAAACAACTTATATTGCAAAAAAATGTCAAAAAGCAATAAATTAGTATGTTATTTAACAAAATTTATTTTCAAATATAAAAATAAGATCTTTCGCAACATAAATGTTAAAGACAAAAATAAATATAATAGGAATAAGAATTTTTGTCGAATACAAAACACCTCAAATGCATACATATTAAACTAATTTTCACCTACCAAGCCCAATGAATTGAACAAATTAATTTTTCAAACTAATATCCAAAAATCCAAGAGCGTTCACAATATTAGTATCTAGCTCATTCACTGTTTTAGATTGACGTTAAGCTTGTATTAATTAAACTTAGGAGACCAAGTTTAAATATAAAGGAAGAATCTTTTTATTCTTCTAGTGTGAGACAGAGTTTTTAGAAGTAAAAAATAAACTGGAATGTTCACAAACTATGCTCTACCATGTTTACTTCCATCTTGCTATCACGGAATTTATGCTCAAATTGACTTCCTTTCTGATTATACCATTATGTAACAAACTAACAACACTACATATAGTATAATACATATATATACTATTAAATTTATTTTTTTTAGGTTGGGCCTGGGCCCTACCTGGCCCAGAGCCAAATCCGCCCCTGGTGGTACCATAATGTCTCGGACCATCGGGTACAAGAGTAATGAGCATGACTTTAGGGATGACATATATCCCTTGTATTGTCTTCAAGATATACGTAGTATGCAATAAATTTCCACGCATCCATGTGTTTGACTTTTTTTTATCGTCAAAAGGGGCTTAGATTAAAATCATAGCGTTCAGAAAGGGGCTAAAATAACAAAAGCACCACAAGCAACCATCCGCTCTTGGGCCAGACTCTGAGTTAATCACCTTTGACAAAGCAATATAACTCGCTGATCCGAAATTGGGCATAATTGAGTCAATAATGGTTACTGTGGAACTCTCATCCCCCAAACCTAATGCAAGAGTCTTACAATAAAAATAACCAACAGAAAAGTAAACAGTCTGATCTTGGAAAATAAATCGCAAGAAAAAAGTTAAATTAAAAGGATGCTTCCAAACCCTAGATTCTTCGGCACTCCATGGCAGCGGTTCAGGAGGGGGACACTTCAGTCGTACTGTAGATTCTGCCTTATCTTTCCCCTTCTTCATCATGTTCTCTACCAAGTCTCATCTGTAGAGATTATTATTGTCCCCTCCTAAGGCCATCCACTTATATTGGTCCAGCACTTCCTCCTGGCTTCTGCGTTTCCGAAACCAGCCCTCGAAACTGCGCCCCACCGCCACGTTCATCATCCCTGCATCGCAAGCGCTGCTACACCGAGTCGGAAGCGACGGGAAAACTAAAACTACACTAGAGATGGCTAGGAAGCCAAACTCTAGAGAGAAAATTAATTCTCAAAAACAGCCGAGAAAAACACCAGCACCCACCTTCGATCCTTCGTCCCAACCTTGCTGCTACGACGGAGGCGACCTTTGATTGACTTGAAAAGTTGAAATGCTTATGTCTATAACTGCTAGAATATAATCAGTTCGACTTTGTTTACCAGTCCAGACTTTTAATTTATTAGAAAAGCTTAAGCAGTTATTGCTTGGTCATCGAATAAGAACAAAAAATAAATTGATCTCTGTTTCTTTTTTAAATACGTATACTTTTTCCTATTAATTTTATTATTAATTAGGTATTATGTGTTCTTTCAGGTTTCTTAATTGGGCATGGAGCCGGGCGGGCCTTTTGTGTTTGGGGGAAGGCCCGGGACTGGGCCGGGTTGCCACCGGGTCCGGTTCGGGCCGGGACTCGGGCTGGGTTGTATTTCTTTTTGCTTTCCTATCTGGTAGAGACTATAGATTATGGCATGCAGTAGCATGAGAGATCATAACTTCAAAAGATGGAATAGATAGAAGTAGAACTTTACCCACTTTCATCATCACAAGCCAATTTTCCAACTAAAACTCAAATGCAATCAAGCACTTCATAATTTTTATGATAGACAATGCAAATGCTCAAGAGTTTTAACATTCCATAGTCGGACTTGCTTGAATGCATGACTGAAGAAGAAAGATCTCAGTAGAGACTATTTGTTTTTATCTTTCTGATTAGAATGAACAGCCTCTGATCAAGCTCAAATTTAGCAGCTATTGATGAGTCAGCACTCAGTTCCATCAGAAGCCCACCGAACGAAACTATTAGCCTCCTGTACCAAGGAACATAACGGAATATAATTGGCGTGAATTTCAGAATCATAGATCATTAGGGAGTAGCGATCCTGTCAAGCCGGTCTGACGGGACTCACCATCCGGCAAGGCCTGTTTGGGGCCCTACCCGGTGGTATTTTTTGATGAAATTTTTTCAGCATGTTCTTCATCAAGTCTAGTTTATGCACACAAAATTTCAGCTAAAAATTCAATCGGGAAGACAATTAAATAAATTATCGAAACATACTGCGCATTATTTATATACATAAAGCGCAATATGTTTCATTATTTTCTTTAACTGACTTCCTGGTTGAATTTTTAGCTGAAATTTTGAGGCGATCATCTAATGAAAAACATGCTCAAATAATTTCATAAAAAAATTCTACCGGGAAGCTTCCCAAATGGCCTCGGCCTGACGCCGGCTCTTGCCAGGCCAGCCTGATATGAATTGTACTTGACCACTAGGTATGTTAAATAACATTGACAGCAAAGCAAATATTTTTAAAAACTAAAAAACAAACTAAAAACTAGAGGGTATTGCGGTGGCATAGGATATTTAAAAGAATGAGGAAGGGAGTCGAAATAGTGCTGAATATGTTTACCAGCAACTTAGAATTCGAAATGGATAACTATTAGATATCAACTAACTATTTGAAATTGAATACGGAGTACTATTTACGATTCATGGCGCTGGGTTTTGAATTTTGATGGTTTTTGAGGCTTCTTGCGAATCCAAGGTGAATTGAAGAGTACAGCTCATATGTAAAATTTATATTCCATAATTCTTTAACTACGTGAAATAAAAACTTACAGTTTTTGAATATTATGACATAGTATCTTGCACTAATTACTGTAATTGGATGGATGATAAACTCCAGAATGCATAAAGCTATAAAATATTTAAGACAACTCGTCAACAAAACAGAGAGGATGAACAAAATGTCTAGTAGAAAAGAAAGTTGGGAAAGCTTCATTCGAGTAGGGAAGAAAGCAGTTAAGTAGAAGCATAAAAAAGCAAACGAGTAGGAAAGAGGTTAGAGGTATTGGGTAGAGAACAAACATTGAAGTTCTACAGTTCAATTAAGTAAATAGCATCTTAAATCCTTAATGAAAAGCAGGTAAGATTGAAACAAACATGTAAAAATGAAGTGCCAATTTTTAATGCAAGGCAATTTTCTATAGCTTCCTCCAGGCGAGTCAAAAGATGTATATGTCAAATTGTCAATACCTTTTTCAAATTATTAACTCATGTGGCTTTTTCTGCAGGAGATGTCACCTCATAATTGGGTCAGGATTAGCATATCAAGGTTCAGCCTACACAAATTCCTTTTGATGGATATATTGATAAATATTTCTAATTTGTTTTTGGACTTCCTGATAAAAAAAATTATTTAGACATCACACGAGAGGCAAAACCTACAGTTCATCCCGCGAGTTTCCCTCAGGTATCCTGTATAGCTTTCCTTGCATAACATACTCATAGTCATCAGCAAGTGATTTCCTGTTTCCCTGAGATCATGACCACAGCAAATTTAGCCCCCTTCTCATTTGAAGAAATAACAGCACACCATAATCCAAAACTTTCAAGGCTAATCAGCTAAATACTTGGTCATAAGCCAACATTGGCTTTTTATTTGTGTTATGTTGACAGACGTAAAGAATGTATTTTATCTCTAACTGAAATACTATTATTATAACCTCAAAAAAAAAAAAAAACTATTATTATAACCTCACAGGCAAAAGGTAATGGCAATGCCACATATCTAAGAGCATATCAGAACACATGCACAAATTTCATGCATAAAAGGATTGCACAAACAAATAAGAAAGCATTAGTTTATTGCCTCCCAACAGGATTTGAGTAAAATTATGGAAAAAATTTTAAATGTAACAAATTTGAAATACTAAACACCGAAAGCTTGTGAGTATACAAGCTAATTTTAGTGAAAGTACATGATACAAAGAATAGAAGTCCCCTCTTGAGTAAACAAATACGGTGTACTAGTAAAACGATGCTATCGTTTTAGTTTTACATATTTTAATTTAATATTTTTTTCATTTCACAAAACACTGTCGTTTAATTTTTTTGTCGACACCAGCTCCAACATTTCATTTTTAGACTTCAGCGGCAGCATTTCAGCTGAAACAGAGCGCAAGAATATAGGTTTCCAGGGATGTGATGTCGTTGCGGTCGGTGGCGGCCGGTTGCCGCCGGATGCGGTGTGTTGCGGACTGATGCGGCTTCGCTGCAGTTTCGTTGCGGTTTTGTCGCGGCTGCATTGCAGATTATCCCCGTGATTTGAAAACACGCCGGTATAGCGCCCGCGACAGCAATATTGCAGCCACATCAGGCATTGCGGACCACTATTTAGAACCGTGCATATATGTGTTTGAGCATAAACAGTTTAGATAAAGTAAATAAACAAAAAACAGTAACTAGATATCACATGCCACATTTTCTCACAAGCTTGATGTCACTCAAAACCTCCACCAGAGTCATCATGACACTGGCGGATCCTCAAACAATGTGATAACACTACTCCTCATCAAACACAGTCACAACGTTATCAGCAAGCCCAAATTTCCAAACAGTGGTACAAGTTGCAAAATCAAAAGCAACCAAATAAAAATAAATATAAAATACCTGAAGATAGTAACCCGAATCTGGAGTCCCATCCAAATTTATAGTGGAGACCAGAACAATCTTAAGTTTATCCTTAACGTCAATGTGATATATCTGTGAATTCACGTCTAATACCATAGTCTTTTCAAACTGGTTGCCCTTTGCCACGATGCGATCAACTAGGAATTCATACAATCATTTATGTAAACATCAGAAATTCACAATTAATTACAGAAAGTACAATCTGTGTGAACTGAATCAGCCAGAGACAACCAACACAGTGAATTAAAACTCAATGGTTCAAAGCTAGAGACAGCCAACATAGTGAATTAAAACTAAATGCTTCATGCTGTTTTCCAGAACAGCAGAACAGCAGGTTCACCTATTGATTGACCATCTAACCATATTGTTCATTATGCAAAACTCATTGGTATACGCATTTAAGGCGAACTAGCCAATTCTTATTAAATACTTTTATAGTAAATGTGCTCTACCAACACACTTCCTTCAACGAAAATTTCAGATATCTAGTTTTCATATCATTCAAGAAAATATCTCATGCAATATAGGGGATGAACATATCGCATTGGATGATCCCATATAAGAATTATGTATTTGTGTAACTGAGACGCTGAGTACCGTTATTGAATATTTTCCCCTCTGGATTTATTTCAGTTACTGTGAAAATATCTTCAAACAGCGTCGCAACCATCTTGAACCTGTATTTATACATTGTTTAGAATAGGTAAACAAAGAATATAATATATGACAGGAAGACACCATTAGATTACAGAAGACAAATCTGAAACCCAGGCAGGGCCGGTCCTGAGTGTTTAAGACACCATTAGAAAAATCTTTTTTTATCTAAACTAAGATGTAAAGTAATAATATTTCAAAAAAAAGTATAATCATATTAATCAATTGTTAAACTAATCAAATAATCATATTAATCTATAAAAGAAAAAGTCTAAAACTCGAAAAACAGACAAACAGTTGAGGTTTGTCTAAGAAATAGTAGGTATAGGTTCATTTAATATGATTATTTGATTAAGTTGTGCCCTACGCGACTTCAAAGTATAAAATTTGAAAACACATACATAATAATACGTCAAATCGTCAACACTTCAAATATTCATCAAAATATCATTTAAGTTGTGCCCTACGCGACTTCAAAGTATAAAATTCATCAATAATAGAATCTACATCTATATTATTTACAAAATCTCGTTCAATGTAGTTCATGAATGAATCTTCAAGAAAATCATCTCCCATTTTGTTGGGAAGTGCCGTCTTCACCATAGTAGGTATAAGTTCACAACTCTCTTCACCACTTTGACGATTCACTTTTGAAAAAAATGACGAAATTAACTTCTTCTCTTTCTTGGCAATATATTCATTATTCATTCTAAAAAAACATTTTCTATACTGGTATGAATTAAAATATTTCTATAAAATTATGAAACTAATAAGAAAAAAAACAATAGTTGTACATAAACTTAACAAGTGTTCCCAATTTCAAAACTCAGTTCAAATTTACAATTTTTTCTTACATAACCACACAATAAAATGATAAATACGTAGTAACTCATTCTCTAATCTTCAACTGTATAATAAATAAATCATTCTATAATCTTTAATTCTATCTTTAATCATTATAAATTTATAATGAATTAAAAACAATTTTATTATGCACTGAAAAATTCAATTAATAATCAAATTGATTCCCTAACCCTAAAGATTATAATACACAATAACACAAAGTCAAAAAATAATAGCTTAAAAATCTAAAAAAGTATTAGAGTTAGAGCATACCTGGAAGCTGGAGCAGCGGAGCTGGAGACAGAGCCCAGGCGGCCAGGCAGAACCGGGTTCGGAAGGCGGAGAGCGGAGAGCCGGAGTGGACGGGGACGGCGGCGCAGCTGGCGGTCTGAGGTTCTCCTATTCCTGTTTGTCGCGTCTTCGTCGCAGGGTCCAGGCTCGTGAGTTCGTCTTCGTTCTTCCCAATCTTCCGCTTCTTCGTTATTCGTTCTTCGCACAAGAGCGTTCCGCACTTCAGCGTTCGGATAAGAGAGAGGCGCAAGAGAAGTTCAATTTTGAATTGGGCTGGGAATAAATTTTGAGGCGGGCCGGGAATTAATTTAGGAACGGGCTAATAATTAAACCTAGTGGAAATTACCCGTGCAGTCTCTTTTTTATAACCTCCTATCATTTATGTCGCTACTTCTTTTTGTTTTCATATTTAACTTTTTTATTTTCACTTTTGTATTTTTATTTCACTTTTAGACTCTCTTTTTTTATCCCCTCCGGTGGAATAGTGCACAGTATAACGGCGAGACGCCAATCAAATTCTCGATTTCGCTTCTCGTCAAAGTGTCAGTAAAACAATTTGGGAGAATCGATGGAAGGCAAGAGCTATCGACGAGTGCCAACTCTCTTCTTAGGGAATCGAAGGTTTCCAAGTGTTTGTGATGCAAATCAATGAGTTGATTTTCCTCTTTGTCGAGCGAGAGCTTTCTCGATGCAGAACTGAGTAGACAGGGGACAAATTTGCAGAGCTAAGCCCGTTTTGACATTGTAGCGCGCACAATATTGCGATTTTGCAGCAGGTAGTTACGGTTCCCCAGGCTTTCGATCGGAACTTTTTACCAAGTCCACGATTCAGCGGAATTGGGGGAGGGGGGCGTACTAGCGGCAACGGAGCAGCTACAGTAGACAACATGAATCTAGCAGGTGACACCAGACGCACTTGGAGGAAATCAATATTGGCTAGGGCGGTTCTCATTCAGGTTGACATTTTTGTGCTTGTATTAATTAATTTTGATTTTTTTTATTTCATATTCTGCTAAAAATATATCATTTGGCTGTTTAGAATAATAATAATACTAATTGTTTGGACATTTATGGCATTTAATTAGTGATTATGTGAATGGAAGGGCTCTATCAGGTGCTCCATTAATTCACAGGTGGATTTTGATGTTATGAGTTATTTGGTAACTCGTAGGAGTTATTAGTTTAGAGGTTGAAGATATTTGGTAACTAGTAGGAGTTATTTGACTGGTTGACATTAGTTGATGGTTATTTAGGTATGAAAACTCTTAGAAGTTGTCTTCTATAGAGTAAATGGAGATATTTGTTCACAAATCAAATGCATATTTCTGAAAAAAAAAATGGGAATGTTTTACTCATGGGGTGCTCTGGTTTTAATATGCTTGATGTTTCAGTTTTAAAAAATTTCCCCTCACCTATGGAAAACAGAACATAAACCTCATGTGAAACCTCTACTAGGCCGGACAAGTTATTTTCTCTTGATTGCTTTTTATTCAACCTGTGATGATCCCATTATGTATTGTTTCTGTACTTTTGCAGGTCTAAGAATGACTTTTCTCAGTGTAACTTTTCATGAACTTTTAATGAAAACGTCACAATAACTCTCACACAGTTTTCACCTCATTTGGTCTCTGCGATCGGTTCCGATTCAGTGTTTTGATTTTTAGTTGAATGAATATATGTATTTCGGTTATTTCCTATTAGCTTGACTTTTCCAATTTGCATTAGCAGGTTTTTTAAGTACATATCAGATAGTTTACTTTGGTTTACACCTCAGATAAAAAGCCAAGCGTCCATATATACTAAAATAAAAAATGGAACAACAACTAGCTAGAATGTCTTTTATTTGTAGGAATGGGACCAAGTTCATAGAGCAGACAACCCTTCTTCCCTCATTATGATTATGTTGAGCCAGTCTTTAGACCATAGATGCTATCTCAACTTAAACTACCCAGGTGGTCAGTTCATTTGTCTCCCCCCAAGAAGATCGATGAAGGTGAATATGGTAAACATACTGGCATCCATCTCTTTTGTCATTCACCACGAGCCTGAACCCATTTTCATTGAGACCTTCTTGTTTGCTGCTACCCTTGCAGTTTAAAGAAGGCGACCAAGGATATCAGAATGTCTCTCCTCTGCCTTAGAGAGCCCAGTTAGCCCATCCTTCACCTTTGGAATAAGAAGAATGTGCATTGGAGCTTGGGGGTTTATTCTCTTGAAAGCCAAAACCTGATCATCCTCGTAAGCATTGTCGGCTGACATTTCTTTGTTTATTACGGAACGGCAAGAAGGGCAGCTTCTTTTTCAGAAGCCATGGGAGATAAGTGACAGCTTAGTAATTGAATTTTGAAGCTTACTATAGCAATTTCTTAATGTAGGTTTTTGAAATGGTGAAATGGAAAGGAAGAACTGATTTATAGAGGAAGTGTTTGAATAAAGCTTGTGGTGTGTCCTTCGATCCATTCATGGATTTAGGGTTCATCTCTTTTTGTATATAGGGTTCGTCTCTTTTTGTATATTTGTTGTGATACTCAGCTACCGTTATACGGCGTATTATGTTTTGTTGATTCTTGTTTTATCATATATATATTGGATTTTGTTGCATTTTGTTGCATATGTTGCATTATGTTGTATTTTGTTGCATTATGTTGTATTTTGTTGCATTATGTTGCATTATGTTGTATTTTGTTGCATTATGTTGCATTATGTTGTATTTTGTTGCATGTTGTTATTTTTTGTTGCAGTGTGTTTCTTATAGTTATTTATTGTTGATTCAGATTTATGTTGTTTGGATACATTTTTAATTAATCTTCTACATCTTTAAAATAGAAAAATCTACATCTTTTATATGTCTATATTTTTTTTTATATATATACAAACACCTAAAAATCTAAAATGTTAAATTTCGATTTTTGAATAACAAAAACAACTAGAAACGTAAAGAAACAATAAGAAACAACAACAAAAAGAAACACAAGGCAACAAAAAGAAACCATATAAAAAAATGCAACAAAAGGCAACACAATGAGACATGGTAGTAATAATGTAAATAAAAAATATTTTATAATTTAAAAAAAATACAATTTTAAATAATTTAGAAAAATAGTTTAATTTATTTTTTTTAAAAAATAAAATATTGTAAGTAGTTTAAATGAAACTATTTTCAAAAATTATATGTTGTATTTCATGACATTTTTATATATTTAACCCTTTTTAAAAAAAAATTGTATTATGTATTTTTTTAATTATTATTCATGATTTTTACAGTTAGTAAAAATCCAAAATTTTAAAATATATACTCAATTTTAAGTTTTCCTATCATGTCTCATTTTATTTTCAATTTTGAACTAATTTTCTACCATTTTTTTGTTATATTAATTTTTTTACATGTTCTAGGTTTTAGTTTTTTTAACATTTTTCTAGCATTTTTTAGACTTTTGAGCGTCTTATTATCAAATCATTAATATTTTTAAACTTTTTAATACTCTGTATTATATATTTATTTTCATCTTTTTTTATCTTACTCTGTATTTTTACAAATTTTATTTTTAAATTTGTTTACATAATATTGGAATTAGATTACTAGTTTTAGATTTTCAATGTAAATATTGTCTGATTTTTTTTAAGCTTTTACTTTTTAGTTAACATCATTTCACAATGGCAAAAAGGTTTTATATTATTTTCCACAGTTTATATATTTGAAATATTTATTTAAAAATTTACATTTTTAATATTTAGTTTACATTATACTCTTTATCTCCTATAAATTTTTATATTTTTATTACTTTTTAAAATTTTAATTGTATTTGTATCATGTTTTACTTTACATGGTAACATGATGCTTGTACCATTTTTGCAATTATAAACTTTTGTTTAATAATGTATAAAACTGCATAATTATTGCTTTATAGAGCCGTCATAGATCCGTAAGAGAAATTTTAGTTTATCATATGGCCACTTTTGGCCTTTTGGAATATAGCCGTACAGGAAAAACGCATCATACGGCCATTCTAGCTTCCAGGGGCATTTAAATTGTGCGGGTCTACCAGTGAAAGAAAATACTTACGGAACCTATTTTTGAAAAGGAGTTTCAAAATTGAAAAACGTGATATTATTTATGCCTTTTAGTCTACTTCTGTAAAAATCCCTGTTGGGTTAAGGGCCCAAGCCGAGGTCCGGCCCACTAACCCATTTTGCCAGACGAACGTCCAGCTAGAAACCAGGCCAGCCCACAGGCCCATGTCTCTTGAGGATGGACGAACGTCTGGTGTTGGAGGACTCAGGCCCAGCAGCTCATTCCGACGAACGTCTGTGCAGAGACAAAGAGCAGAACCACGGGCCAGCAGGGATGGCGACGAACGTCCCCGGAGCAAGCCTGTGGTCATCGGGGAAAACCCAGTGCACATAGTGAGTATCTATTAAGGCCAGGCGACGAACAGCCGATATCCCTCAAAGGTCACTTGGAGCAATCCAACTCACTTCCGGGGTGGACGAACGTCCCCACTGATCCGGCGGGAAACCTAGATTCTGGCGGGAAGTGCATTTAATGCTAAAGATTTGGTAGTTGGGACACCAGCGGTCCACAGGCTGCCACGTCAGTACAGCCACCTGCCCATTGGCGGGTATAAATAGAAGCATTTATTTCATTGTAAAGGGTTGGCAACTTTCTATTCTTAGCATACTAGCTCCAGCATTCTTACGAGTAGCATTTCTATCGCCTTGTAAGACGAACGGCCGACGTGCCCTTTTTAGCAAGTAGATTGTACTTGGGGGAGTTATTACGAAGTTAATAATACCTATTTACATTGCCTGCTATTACTCTTGTTTCCTGATTCATCTGATAGTTGTTGGGCTAGATAACCACACACTCACTCCACTCGAAATCTTTGGGCTTACGTGTTGGGTCCAAGGGTTGAAGGAATAAACCTCAACACTGGCGCCGTCTGTGGGAAACTGAGCAAAAAGTTCCAGAAACTCTCCCAAACAGCTACTAAATCTACCCACAGCAAGCACAATGTCAGGAAGCCACAACCAGCGTGATCTCTCCGAACGTCTGGAGTCAAGCCGCCGGAATCGCGGCCAGAACTCGGAACGATCCGCAACAATATGGACCTCCGGGGGAAACGGGGGTATCACCGACCTCATTCCCCTTGAGGCCAGGCAGGATCCCCGCCTCATGCGGGAACTTGCGGACACCATGCGCCGTTTGGCAGACGAACGGGAAGCCCGAGAGCAAGTGTACTCGGCAAGCACCCAGCGAACCCCCCTATCTCCCGTTCGCCGCATGCAGTCGTATGAT